ATCTTAATTATGGTATCTCGTTTTCTTGGGGCTTTCTTATTTTTGTCTGTGTAATGGTCATTGTTCTTGAAAACGGTGTGGGACTTCTTTGCAACCTGGGAATGATGTGCCTTCCTCCAAATAGTATTTGCATTTACATATGCTTTAGGATCACTAACAGTGGTTCTTCAACTTGGCTATATATAGAATTGTCTGATGAACTTTAAAAAATCCTGATGTCCAAGCTGAACTATATAGACCATTTAAATCAGAATCTGCAGAAGTCGAATCCAGGCATCAGTTTTTAAAGCTACTCAGGTGATTTCAATGAGCATCCACGGCTCAGAACTGCAGATATAAAATAACAACCCTTTCTGACTTACTTATATACACTACCAAATGTAAAACAGATAGCTAGTGGGAAGCAGTCGCATAGCACAGGGAGATCAGCTTGGTGCTTTGTGACCACCTAGAGGGGTGGAATAGGGAGGGTGGGAGGGAGGGAGATGCAAGAGGGAAGAGATGTGGGGATATATGTATATGTATAGCTGATTCACTTTGTCATAAAGCAGAAACTAACACACTGTTGTAAAGCAATTATACTCTAATAAAGATGTTAAAAAAAAAAAAAACAACCCTGCTTGAAGTTGTTTTTGGCCCACCCAGGTGATTTGACTTTGGGATGCGAATCTGCTGGAAGCTACTGTCTTTACAAATTCTGAGAGATTTCCCCTTCATCCACCACTTGCTCAATACCAGTTGGCATATGGTAACTTTTTTCTAATGTCAACAGTATATTGAAGATGAGGAATACAGGGACAGGATTATAGGAGGTTTTGAGAGAGTATTTAATTCATCTACCTCCACCATTTATGAATCATACGCAAAGCATTTTTTACCGTATCCAATTATTCATTCATTACATTAGCTGTACTAAGTTAAAGATAATGATGGTGAAAACGTAAAATGCTTTTTGAATTTTATGGTGTTGTCCATGAAACATGTTGGTTTTATCATGTATTATTTAATTTCTTCTGGGAAGTTTTCATGCTGACCCCTAAAGAATATCTGTAGGGTCTGATTATTCAACTTGTAAGTAAAACGATTAATTTTATTGAAGGTGGACCTTGCTATCTCCTGTTGGAAAGACCCCTAGACAATGTTAATGCATTATGAAATCATAAATTGAAATTGGCTTGCTTTTATCTGTGAGGATCTTGGCATGTATTAGGATTAATCAATATATTACTCCCACGTATACTTCATTTTTTGATAACACATTACATTTAGTATGAGCAACAGAAATCATGATTTTATGTTAACGGAATGACATCATCTTCCTTTTTTCCTTTCAGCATTAAATACCTCATTCCTGTGTTGGGAGATAACACGTTGCGGCATTTGTCAGTGTTATTTCCAGTCCAACTTCTCCTTTTTAAGTTCATTATTCTTTTAGGTTCTTAATTATGAGCTGTCTTCTACTCAGTGTAGTTCACTATTTCTGTAATCATAAGAATCCATTCTCAGTCCTTTATAGGTGAAAAAAGGACAAAAACTACCCAAGCAGCCATTGAGTGCTGGGTACTGGAGCGTGTCCACTAACCTGTCAGCATTTCCCAAGATGTGTGTTGGGCAGAATTAAGTAGGTTCATAGATATTCTGTAAAATATATTTCCATGGTCAGGTAAGTTCAGGGAGGGCTAGATTAAATGAAGTTAAGCTGGTTTGTTTAAGGGAGGCTTGGTAGAATCTTTAATATCCAAATATGCATTTTGAATTTCTCAAGGAAATATTTTATTTGAGCATTTAAAATGATTAATGTTCTTCAGAAATTTGGAAAATACTCATATATGATGATATTAAACCTTCATAATTGCCTTTTCACGTAATTATTGGTCCTGTTTTTACAGATGAGGGAACTTAGGTTTAAAGAAGTTGTTAGTTTGTTCAGTGTCAAAGAGCTATGAGGTGGAGTCTGGATGCGGATTCAGATCTGTTGTATACAAGAGTCTGCATTCACTCTTCCTCTCCCTTGCTCCCTCCCTCCTTTCTTCTCATCCTGCCTTTTAAAATTACATTTATTTATATGATTGTAAAATTAACATATATTTTCACTGAAGACTCTGAAAAAACAAACAAAAGCACAATGAAGAAAATAAAAATTACTCATAACCTCCTTCCCTGAGATAACATTAGAATTTTAATTAAATTAATTAATTAATGGCTGTGTTGGGTCTTCGTTGCTATGTACAGGCTTTCTCTAGTTGCGGCGAGTGGGGGCTACTCTTTGTCTTGATGCACGGGCTTCTCATTGCAGTGGCTTCTCTTGTTGTGGAGCATGAACTCTAGGTGCGCGGGCTTCCGTAGTTGTGGCATGTGGGCTCAGTAGTTGTGGTGCACGGGCTTAGTTGCTCCACGGCATGTGGGATCTTCCAGGGCCAGGGCTCGAACCCATGTCCCCTGCATTGGCAGGCGGATTCTTAACCACTGTGCCACCAGGGAAGTCCAGCATTAGAATTTTAACATTTTATTTTATTACTCTTTTTTTGGACTTTTTTTTTGATGTGGACCATTTTTAAAGTCTTTATTGAATTTGATACAATATTGCTCCTGTTTTATATTTTGGTTTTTTGGCCACGAGTCATGTGGGATCTTAGCTCCGTGACCAGGGATCGAACCCGCACCCCCTGCATTGGGAGGCGAAGTCTTAACCACCCGACCGCCAGGGAAGTCCTGAATTTTAACATTTTAAATGTTTTAAACACACATGTAAATTATATCTATATAGTGTGTGTGTGTGTGTGTGTGTTTTACAAAATCCATATCATACTGTGTGTATTTTTAAACCTGCACTGTTAATTTAATGTAATTAAATAATCTTCTATAATTCAATTCTAATGGCTGCAAATTATTCCATCACAGGCATGCACTAAATTTACTTAGCCAGTTCTCTGTTGTTGGACTTGTAAGTTGTAGCCAATTTTCACTGTTATAAATAGCATTATGATGAACAACTTAGTACATTACATCTTTGTGCACTTGTCTGATTTTTCCTTTGGATTAAACATATACACTCTACTAATAGTGTAGGAGAGTGCTTGTTTATTCATGTTCTGGTCAATATAAGTCTTATATATTTATTTTTATTTCTTGACATTTTTATAAGCAAAACATGCTTTTTATTGTTTAGCTCATTATTACCTCAGTTGTGCCCCTTTGGCTGTCATTAAGCTGCCCTCCTAGTAGTAGGGCTTGTGCCCTATATGATTCGTCCATGAGTGGAGGTTATTTTGCATCCAGCTTTCTTGCTGGTTTTGCCTTATGATATGAATTAGTCAAATCAGTCAGTGAGGTAAGGAGTACAATCTGAGTATAAGACAAGTAATCCACATGGGTATTAAACCTACAGCCATGGTTTTCTTAGCTTCTTGTTCCAGTCTAGCAGTTTTCAACCTGTAGTACACATAACAGATGGCATTCACATGTTGGACACATCATATGGGTACACTCTGTGGACTTCTCACAATTTGTGACATGCTCCATATAATTATACTTCTTTTCTCCTGCTCTATAAAACATTTTGGAATAGAAGTTAGTGTGAGTAGTATTATAATAGGACAACTACTCTAATGTAAAACAAAATAAATAACTCACAATCATCCATCCTTAAAATTTTATTAGTAAGAAATTACTTGCCATGTATCTATAATAGTATAAAATCTCTGCTCTAGCAGAGATGAAAATGAACAATGCCTTAAACAAGATAGAGGTTAATTTATTTATCAAAGTAAAATCTCAGCAGTTATGATGCTGCTGTACTGAGACGTCATCTAGAGCCCAGGCACCCTCCATCTTTTTGCTCTGTCATTCTTAGAATGTTGACTTCATCCACATTATCCAAGATGACTCTCCTAGCATCTGAATTCCAGGCAGCAAGAAGGGTATAAAATGGGAGTAGAGGGCCACATTCTTGCCATTAAGGACATGACCCAAAAATGTAAACTTTACTTTTGCTCATCTTCCTTTGACCAGAACATAGACACACAGAACCACACCAGTTACAGAGTAGCATGGAAAATGTTTTAAACTGGGGAGGCTAAGAGTCTAGCTTAAAATCAGGGGTTCTCTTATTGTGAGAGAGAAGGGGGACAGCTGGAAGTGCCTGTCATAATGTTTCTCATGAGTGTATTGTTTCTGGGTACTTGATAAAACTGCCTTAACAATCTCAACCCTCTGGACCACTGGTCACTGCAGTATCTACTGTCCTTCCCCTGCGTCCCAAACTGGTCAATATGCATTCCCAGTGGTCCTGTGTCTAGATCATTAACCACATTAGTGGACTGAACTGAATATGGGATACATGGTTTGAGACCCACATTGTTCAATATTTAAATTGCTCTTTTGTTCATGGTTTGAATTTTAATGAGAATTTAATTTGTGCTGGGGTCCTGGCCTTAATGTGAATAAACCTAAATGGTTAGCCTTACCATTTTTCTATACCGTTTACACAGGAGCAATGCTAAGCTGAACTAAATGGAAATTATCATGTGTTAGTTATTGGCATTTAGAGAATAAAGGGTATACATATTAAGAAAATGTAAAAAGAAACAATTTTATCACTGCCATTTCAAAATGTGCCTTTAATATATCCCCCCTTTTTACCCAAAGGAAAATAAGCAAGTCAGCAATACATTTTAACTTGAAAAATTCTAGCTGAAACTTTCTTGGTTGGGGTGGGGTGTGGATTGTGGAAAGGTGGGATGACTACTCTTATTGTTAAGAAGCTGGCATCACTGGCATTTTTTTCTGCTTTATTTTCCTAAATATTCAATCATGTGATCTCCCAGTTACATAGCATCTGCTTCCTTCACGTTTTAGCCTAGGGCTGGCCTTGAACGTGGTTATATCGTCATATGAAACAGAGAGGAATAGCCCTTGAACAGTCTTTAGTCATGGTTGATATGATGCTGGAAATAAAGGATCCAAGCTAATGAACATTAATATTAATGCATGTTTTACAGGTGCAGCATGAGTCTTTGATGTGTACTCAATTCAGGCAAACCTAGCAACTTGGAAAGTGTCATATACATCAAGTTCAGATCCGTGAGTAGATATGAATAACAGATGCTTCTGTGTTCTGGAGCACAGTTCTGAAACCCAACATGTTCTGAATGTTCTTTATACTCAAGGAATTTAACAAGCCAGATCAACATAATGACCATTAAACTCATACCCCACCCTCATATCCAACCCTTTTTCTGAATACTCATTTTAGAGAAATATGGGACTTTTTAGGATATGTGTGGGTGAGTCTACCTGTTGAAAGACAATTTCACACCTCTACCAATTTCCTAATTCTCTGTAGACCCCGATGGCTTTTTTTTTCTTCTCCTATGTTTCTTTTTTTTTTTTACATCTTTATTGGAGTATAATTGCTTTACAATGGTGTGTTAGTTTCTGCTTTATAACAAAGTGAATCAGCTATACATATACATATATCCCTATATCTCCTCCCTCTTGGGTCTCCCTCCCACCCTCCCTATCCCACCCCTCTAGGTGGTCACAGAGCAGTGAGCTGACCTCCCTGTGCTATGCGGCTGCTTCCCACTAGCCATCGGTTTTATATTTGGTAGTGTATATAAGTCCATGCCACTCTCTCACTTTGTCCTAGCTTACCCTTCCCCCTCCCCGGGTCCTCAAGTTCATTCTCTATGTCAGTGTCTTTATTCCTGTCCTGCCCCTGGGTTCTTCAGAACCATTTTTTTCTTTTTTAGATTCCGTATATATGTGTTAGCATACGGTATTTGTTTTTCTCTTCTGACTTACTTTACTCTGTATGACAGACTCTAGGTCCATTCACCTCACTACAAATAACTCAATTTCGTTTCTTTTTATGGCTGAGTAATATTCCATTGTATATATGTGCCACATCCATCTTCTTTATCCATTCATCTGTCGTTGGACATTTAGGTTGCTTCCATGTCCTGGCTATTGTAAATAGTGCTGCACTGAACATTGTGGTACATGACTCTTTTTGAATTATGGTTTTCTCAGGGTATATGCCCAGTAGTGGGATTGCTGGGTTATATGGTAGTTCTATTTTTAGTTTTTAAAGGAACCTCCATACCGTTCTACATAATAGCTGTATCAGTTTACATTCCCACCAACAGTGCAAGAGGGTTCCCTTTTCTCCACACCCTCTCCAGCATTTATTGTTTGTAGATTTTTTTGATGATGGCCATTCTGACTGGTGTGAGGTGGTAATCACTGTAGTTTTGATTTGCATTTCTCTAATGATTAGTGATGTTGAGCATCCTTTCGTGTGTTTGTTGGCAATCTGTATATCTTCTTTGGAGAAATGTCTCTTTAGGTCTTCTGCCCATTTTTGGATTGGGTTGTTTCTTTCTTTGATATTGAGCTGCATGAGCTGTTTATATATTTTGGAGATTAACCCTATGTCCGTTGATTCATTTGCAAATAATTTCTCCCATTCTGAGGGTTGTCTTTTCGTCTTGTTTATGGTTTCCTTTGCTGTGCAAAAGCTTTTAAATTTCATTAGGTCCCATTTGTTTATTTATTTGTGTATTTATTTTGCGGTACGTGGGCCTCTCACTGTTGTGGTCTCTCCCGTTGCGGAGCAGAGGCTCCGGACGCACAGGCTCAGCGGCCATGGCTCACGGGCCTAGCCACTCTGCAGCATGTGGGATCTTCCCGGACCGGGGCACGAACCCGTGTCCCCTGCATCGGCAGGCGGACTCTCAACCACTGCGCCACCAGGGATGCCCCCATTTGTTTATTTTTATTTCCATTTCTCTAGGAGGTGGGTCAAAAAGGATCTTGCTGTGATTTATGTCATAGAGAGTTCTACCTATGTTTTCCTCTAAGATTTTTATGCTGTCTGGCCTTACAGTTAGGTGTTTAATCCATTTTGAGTTTATTTTTATGTATGGTGTTAGGGAGTGTTCTAGTTTCATTCTTTTACATGTAGCTGTCCAGTTTTCCCAGCACCACTTATTGAAGAGGCTGTCTTTTCTCCATTGTATATTCTTGCCTCCTTTATCAAAAATAAGGTGACCATATGTGCATGGGTTTATCTCTGGGCTTTCTATCCTGTTCCATTGATCAATATTTCTGTTTCTGTGCCAGTACCATACTGTCTTGATTGCTGTAGCTTTGTAGTATAGTCTGAATTCAGGGAGCCTTATTCTTCCAGCTCCATTTTTCTTTCTAAAGATTGCTTTGGCTATTCGGGGTCTTCCATACAAATTGTGAAATTTTTTGTTCCAGTTCTGTGAAAAATGCCATTGGTAATTTGATAGGGATTGAATTGAATGTGTAGATTGCTTTGGGTCGTGTAGTCATTTTCACAACACTGATTCTTCCAATCCAAGAACATGGTATATCTCTCCATCTGTTTGTACCATCCTTAATTTCTTTCATCAGTGTCTTATAGTTTTCTGCATACAGGTTTTTTGTCTCTTTACGTAGGTTTATTCCTAGGTATTTTTTTCTTTTTGTTGCAGTGGTAAATGGGAGTGTTTCCTTAATTTCTCGTTCAGATTTTTCATCATTAGTATATAGGAATGCAAGAGATTTCTGTGCACTAATTTTGTATCCTGCAACTTTAACAAATTCATTGCTTCGCCCTAGTAGTTTTCTGGTAGAGTCTTTTGGATTCTCTATGTATAGTGTCATGTCACCTGCTAACAGTGACAGCTTTACTTCTTCTTTTCTGATTTGGATTCCTTTTATTTGTTTTTCTTCTGTGACTGCTGTGGCTAAAACTTCCAAAACTATGTTGAGTAATAGTGGTGAGAGTGGGCAACCTTGTCTTGTTCCTGATCTTAGTGAAAATGGGTTCAGTTTTTCACCATAGAAAACAATGTTGGCTGTGGGTTTGTCATATATGGCCTGTATTATGTTGAGGTAAGTTCCCTCTATGCCTGCTTTCTGGAGGTTTTTTTTTTTTTTTTTTTTTTTTTTTTTAACATCTTTATTGGAGTATAATTGCTTTACAATGGTATGTTAGTTTCAGCTTCACAACAAAATGAATCAGTTATATATATACATATATTCCCATATCTCTTCCCGCTTGCGTCTCCCTCCCTCCCACCCTCCCTATCCCACCCCTCCAGGCGGTCACAAAGCACCGAGCTGATCTCCCTGTGCTATGCGGCTGTTTCCCACTAGCTATCTACCTTACATTTGGTAGTGTATATATGTCCATGCCTCTTTATCGCTTTGTCACCGTTTACACTTCCCCCTCCCCATAGCCTCAAGTCCATTCTCTAGTAAGTCTGTGTCTTTATTCCTGTTTCACCCCTAGGTTTTTCATGACATTTTTTTTTTTAAATTCCATATATATGTGTTAGCATACGGTATTTGTCTCTCTCTTTCTGACTTACTTCACTCTGTATGACAGACTCTAGGTCTATCCACCTCATTACAAATAGCTCAATTTCGTCTCTTTTTATGGCTGAGTAATATTCCATTGTATATATGTGCCACATCTTCTTTATCCATTCATCCGATGATGGACACTTAGGTTGTTTCCATCTCTGGGCTATTGTAAATAGAGCTGCAATGAACATTTTGGTACATGACTCTTTTTGAATTATGGTTTTCTCAGGGTATATGCCCAGTAGTGGGATTGCTGGGTCATATGGTAGTTCTATTTGTAGCTTTTTAAGGAACCTCCATACTGTTCTCCACAGTGGCTGTATCAATTTACATTCCCACCAACAGTGTAAGAGGGTTCCCTTTTCTCCACACCCTCTCCAGCATTTATTGTTTCTAGATTTTTTGATGATAGCCATTCTGACTGGTGTGAGATGATATCTCATTGTAGTTTTGATTTGCATTTCTCTCATGATTAGTGATGTTGAGCATTCTCTCATGTGTTTGTTGGCACTCTGTATGTCTTCTTTGGAGAAATGTCTATTTAGGTCTTCTGCCCATTTTTGGATTGGGTTGTTTGTTTTTTTGTTATTAAGCTGCATGAGCTGCTTATAAATTTTGGAGATCAATCCTTTGTCAGTTGCTTCATTTGCAAATATTTTCTCCCATTCTGAGGGTTGTCTTTTGGTCTTCTTTATGGTTTCCTTTGCTGCGCAAAAGCTTTTAAGTTTCATTAGGTCCCATTTGTTTACTCTTGTTTTTATTTCCATTACTCTAGGAGGTGGGTCAGAAAGAATCTTGCTGTGATTTATGTCATAGAGTGTTCTGCCTATGTTTTCCTCTAAGAGTTTGATAGTTTCTGGCCTTACATTTAGGTCTTTAATCCATTTTGAGCTTATTTTTGTGTATGGTGTTAGGGAGTGATCTAACTTCATACTTTTACATGTAGCTGTCCAGTTTTCCCAGCACCACTTATTGAAGAGGCTGTCCTTTCTCCACTGTACATTCTTGCCTTCTTTATCAAAGATAAGGTGACCATATGTGCATGGGTTTATCTCTGGGCTTTCTATCCTGTTCCATTGATCTATCTTTCTGTTTTTGTGCCAGTACCATACCGTTTTGATAACTGTAGCTTTGTAGTATAGTCTGAAGTCTGGGAGCCTGATTCCTCCAGTTCCTTCTTTCGTTCTCAAGATTGCTTTGGCTATTCGAGGTCTTTTGCGTCTCCATTTTTTTTTTTATCATAAATGGGTGTTGAATTTTGTGGAAAGCTTTTTCTGCATCTATTGAGATGATCATATGGTTTTTATCCTTCAGTTTGTTAATATGGTGTATCACATAGATTGATTTCCATATATTGAAGAATCCTTGCATTCCTGGGATAAACCCCACTTGGTCATCGTGTATGATCCTTTTAATGTGCTGTTGGATTGTGTTTGCTAGTATTTGGTTGAGGATTTTTGCATCTATGTTCATCAGTGATACTGGCCTGTAGTCTTCTTTCTTTGTGACATCCTTGTGTGGTTTTGGTATCAGGGTGATGGTGGTCTTGTAGAATGAGTTTGGGAGTGTTCCTCCCTTTGCTCTATTTTGGAAGAGTTTGAGAAGGCTGGGTGTTAGCTCTTCTCTAAATGTTTGATAGAATTCGCCTGTGAAGCCATCTGGTACTGGGCTTTTGTTTGTTGAAAGATTTTTAATCACAGTCT